CCCTGTGCTCCTCTCTTCTCTTCTCCCAGGAATGCACTCTGTGCGTGCTCAGAGGCTCCATCGCCGCTCCCCAGAACCCAGACAGGACAAGCGAGAAAGAGCCCCCTGCTTCCATTCCTCTCTTCCCCACCCCAGCGAGAGGCTAATGCCCCCCCCCAGCTGCTGGCCGGCCATCCAGGCTCGGGGACTCATTGATCCCAGGGACGCTGCGTCCCCAACAAACAGCCTCATTATCTTATCGGCAGCTTACATAAGCGGCCTCCAGGCAGGAGGCAGCAGCGGCCAGATGGGTGAGCGGGGGGGGGAGCCCCTCCTCCTCCTCTCTCCCCCCCACATCCGGGTCCAGCCCAGCCAAGGACTCACCGGTCAGGGCCTGCAGGCGGGTCAGGCAAAGGCGGTTGGTCAGCACCAGCAGCTCCATGGCATCCAGGTCTGGCGTGGGGACAAAGAGGCCCGTGTAGAGGAACTCCAGCACGGCCCGCAGGCAGGCGCAGTTGGTGCCCGGCAGGGCGACCTGCGGGGGGGGGGGGCAGAAGGGTCTCTGGAGGAGCTGCCTTGGCCTGGCCCCCCACCCTCCAACTTGGGCCTTCTGCCCATAGATCTTCGCCATGCAAGACCAGCTCTGCATTTACAGGAACTGGATGGGTGGCACCCGGAACTCCCTGCCACTTGAGATCAAGCAGGCGCCTCCAGGGCCAAACATTCTGGTTTGGAAGACAAGCCTGCCCAGAGCCGAGAGAGAGTCCCTGGGAGATGTCACGCTTTTCGTCTGTCGTTATTTTAGCTTTGCAAAAGCCTCACTTTATTGTTGCACCTTTTGCAAACTGCCTTGAGGTTTGCTTTTCCGTTTCGTTTTACAATCAGGCGGTGCATAAACTTCAGGAGATAAAAATGGCGACGCCTCTGCTCTCTTCCTGTCCCTGTCCTGGGGGCTCCTGGGCAAAGTCACGGAACCCCCCCAACCCAGCGCTTTCCCTCGCTGCCCCCCAGTCGCCCCCTCCAAACCTCCCCAGCTGGCCCTCCAGCTCCTCCCTGGACTTGGGAGATTTCTTTCTGGGGGGACGGAAGCTGCTTCCACCAGCAACCCAGAAAGAGCCCCTTTGCACATGCTCAGAGGCACTTGCCTTGCTACTTTACAGTTAGCCGGGGTAAGAGGCTGAACCCCCCCCCCTCCCCAAAGGGGAACAAAAGAGCCTCAGAAGCCCAGACAAGACGGAAGCAAGACCAATTTGGGCAGGCCGGGGGAGGCCAGGGGGGCGCCAGGAGGGCCTTGGCTGCCACCCCCCCCGGCTCGTGAGCCCCGTGACCCTTTCTTTTCGAGATGCCCGATTTATCTCAGGCCCTGGCAGCTCCTGGCTGGGGCAGCACATTCCAGCAGGCAGCTGGCTTCCCTGCTGCCAAAGGGGTCGGGCGCGGGAGTGAAAGAGGCCTGGGCCCAGCTTGGGGGTCGCAGAGCACAGGGTGGGGGTCAGGACTCGCCCCACCAACACCTTTGCCATGCAGAGAGAAGGCGGGTCCCTGGCAACGGGCGCACACTCGGTCAGAAGCTGACCCGTGTCCGCAGCCCATGCTGTTGACCCGCCAGCCTCTTGGCTCAGCTGCCAGGACAGCCGCCCCCCCCCAGCCCAGGGCTTCACGCCAGTGGCAAGAAAAGATAGACCGTATTTTTTGCTCCATAAGATGCACTTTTTTCTTCCCAGAAAGTAAGAGGAAATGTCTCATGGAGCAAATGTGTGGGCCCTGGAGCCAAATTGCCCAGGGGAGGAAAACAGGTCGTGCTTTTTTTCCTTGAAAGAGGGAAGTGGGTGTTGAAACAATTTTTTGCCAATCGGGGAGAGAGATAAGGGACGCTAGAGATAAAGGAGGCTGCCTGGGAGGGGGGAGGTAAAGACAGCAAACTTGCAAACGGGGAAACAGGAAGACTAAATCAATAAGGAGAGAAATTAGAAGAGGAGGAGGAGCAAAAAACTGCTCCAGCTGAGGCAAACAAGAGGGAGGGGAGTGCTGAAAGGAAACAGCTGATCAGTGGGATCAGAAGAGAGATAAGGGACCCTAGCAGAGGCTGCGGGGGGGGGGGTAAAAGCCCATGATTTTTGCACTGGTTCACCCCAAATTCACCATCAGATCACATAGCATGTCCAGGGCTACAGCCTGCACACACAAAAAACCATGCATCCACTGTTTTGTGGAGCCAAATGGCACAAAACATGGTGGTACAAAGCACGGATCCACATGGATCCTCAGGATTTTTGCATTGGGCTACTCCAAACTCACTGTCAGATCACATGTCTGTGGCCACAGCACGAACCACAAAAATCATACATCCACTGTTTCATTCAGAATATTTTTTTTCTTGTTTTCCCCCTCTAAAAACTAGGTGCGTCTAATGCAGCGAAAAATACGGTATTTTCATGCGCAGTGACTCCAGCTGCCCCAGGAAAGACAAGACACCAAGGGGAGGGAGTTTTGCACCCGTTCAGGCCACAGAAGTGCATTCACACCCCGGCTTCCAGGCACTTGCGTGGGGCTAGCTCTGGCAAGGGGACAGGGCAAGACTTGCACCTTCCAGAAGGTGCCCCCCCAACCCTTAGCCCTTGCAGCCAGGAGAGCCAAAGGACAGAGCTCACGGCATCCGCTCCGGTGCAAGAGGGCAGCCTTCTCCGGCCCCCTCCGGCCTCCACAACCGTGGCAGCTGGTCATTCGGGGCACAAGGTGCTCCGTGCGGGCTGGATCTGGAAGCCGCAGTCCGGGCAGGATGCTGCAGAGCAATTGCTGGCTGGCGCAACGCCAGGTCACTGTGGGGCACCTGTGCACAGAGATCGGCCCGCCGTGCCAGTCTGCTTCCCGGCCAAGTTCAAAGTGTTAATCTTGGCATATAAAGGGAGCCTGGGACCAGCGAGATCGCCTTTCCCCACATTAGACTGGCACTTTTACAGGTGCCACACAATATCCCCACCGCATCTGGGAGAACATTTAGTGTGGCAACTGTTGATATCAGGCTTTGCTTTCGGCTTATTCAGACCAGCCTACCCAGATGTTTAGGAAGTTTAACAAGTGTTTTAATTGGTTTCTGTCTACTCTAGTCCTGGTTTAACTGTCTGAATATTTATGGCCATGAATCTTTAGTGAAATTTATTGTTTTAAGCTTATTGTAAAAACACTTATCGTTCCCCCCCCCAATAAGCAAGCATATAAGTTTCCTGAGATAAAATAAACAAACAAGCTGTTTAGAAAGTTTTGCTTTCCTCTTCCCTCCCTGCCCTTCCTCTTTGCGTGCTGTTGTCTCACTGGTTATCAGCCTGCAGGGAGGGACTCTGATCGTACGGAAGCTGCTCTGGGAGCCTTTGGGGCTGAAAGAGCGGACTATAGATGTGCTTCTAAGCACATAAAAAATACCCAAAATGGCCTCCGAAATCCCCCACCCCAAGGATGCCCAGCCAGCAACCTCCCTGAAGGCTCAAACTCCCAGAGGGGCCCCCACCCCACTGCCCCCCACTCCTCACCTCCGGCAGCGCAGCTCTCCCGGAAGGTGCTCCCAAACATGGCGACCATGAAGTCGCAGCCGGCCAGGAGAAGGGGCTTGTGGGCCGGCACCAACCCGTCGTCGACCACAAAGACGACATCTGGCAGGGAAGAGAAAGGGGGCCGTCAGGGGGGGCTCTCTCTCAGAGAGCTGGATGCAGGAGTCGCGGCTAAAGAACCCCCTGGCAGATGACCCTCCAACCTGGGCTGAGAAACTCCAACGAAGGACAGCCCATCTCCCCAGGGAGGCTGTTCCACAGTCACCCACCTCCAATCCTCAAAAGGGGTCTTCCTAACATTTGACTGGACACCGCTTCAGATATTCGATGGTGGTTTGCTGCCCCGTCTGCCCTGGGACCAGCGCCGGATTTAAGTATAAGCTAAACAAGCTATGCCTTAGGGCCCCCACTATTTGTGGCCCCCAAAAATATTTAAAGGGGGGAAAACTGGATGTACATTTCCAAAATGGAAGATAAAAATTAAAATAAAACCTACATACAGTAGCAGTGTTTTGTTGTTGTGTCAGCTCCTGTGATGTAAGTCATGGGTCCCGCCTGCTAGCCTGCACCCTAAAATATCACTGGTTCTTAATTGTATTTCAGTTCAACAATCACTACATATTTTGTTATATGCAAAGGGTCCATAAATTGCCATATATAGCATCTATCCAACACAAAAAACAGCAACCATTTGTTGTTGACAAAGACAGCTGGACATATAAAGGGCCCCATTACATTCAGTAGCTGAGGGCCACATCAAACCTCAATCCGGCCCTGCCTGGGACAGCCCTTCATGGCTGCCACAGCTGTCACGTGACTTCCCAGTGTTGGGGTTGGACTGGATGACCCCTGGGTCCCACTCCACAATTCTGCAATTCTCTTCTCTCCAGCCGCTCCTCCCCGGAGACTTGCCTCCCTTCCTGCCCAGCTGAGCCCCCAACCCCAGACCGGCCCCCTCTGCCCCCTCCTCTACCTGCAAAGGTCCCCTTGCTCAGGCACTCCTTGATCCGGTTGGCGCGCCGGACGTGGAAGGCCTTGGTGATCTCCCGGTTCATGAAGCTCTCCTTGTTGAGGATGTTGGCCACCATCATGCGCAGGTCAAACACCTCCAGCAGCTCGGCGATGGCCGCCACCTGCATCAGGTCGGCGCCGTGCTGCTCCAGCCGCCCCGTGTACAGGTATTCCAGCACCGCCAGGAAAGGCCCCGCCTGCACCAGCCCGTCCAGGTAGACGGCCGCCATGGGCTTCTCGCGATGCGTCACGGGGTCGCGCACCGCCTCCTGGCGCATGCTGACGAAGCCCCGGCCCCAGCCCGCCAGCGCCCGCGGCGCCCGACCCAAGCGCAGGGGTCGTCGCTCTGCGAGGCCCGGAGAGAAGCCGCCGCGGCCGCGGCCGACGAGCCACACTGGATGTCGGCATCCAAGCTCCTAGTCCTCACCGCCGGTTCCTTGGCGCCCGCGGCCTCGGGAGAGTCCAGCGCAAAGAGGTCGTAGAATTTGGAGCAGGACGTGGCCAGGTAGACCCGGTGGGCAAAGACCCGGTGGCCCCCCTGCAGGCAGAAGACCACGTCGGCGCACAGCGGCTGGCGGAAGAGGGCATCGGGGCCCCTGCCCTCCCCGGGCACCGGCTCCGGGATGTGGATGACGGGCGGGGGCGGCTTGGGGGGCAGGAAGGGCGCCTGCAGCAGCGGGCGCTGCACCTTCTTCAGGTGGGACTTCCAGAACTGCAGGTGGCGGCGGGAGATGAGGGCGGCGCGGATGGCGTTGTCAAAGACGTCCTTGATGCCAAACTGAGCCACCATGCTGGTCTCGTAGTAGGGGATGCCCAGCTCCTTCGCCACCTCGTGCCCACACTCGGGGGGAAGGATGTCCGACGGTTTAATGGGCCTGGGGGGCAAGGAGAGGAGAGGGCAAGGGGGTGAGTACAAAAGGATGCCAGGCAGAGCCTCTCCGGGCTAAGACAGGGGAAGCACCAAATCATATTCAATGTTTGCATTACTCTGCCACCTTTTTCGTCCAAGGGGGCGCGCATGGTTCTCCCCCTCCCCATTTGTCCTCAGAGCAACCACCGCCCTGCGAGGCTGATGAGAGCGGCTGACTGCTCACAGACAGGCTTTGCGGCTCAGCGGGGATTCGAACCCAGGTCTCCCAAGGCCTCGTCCAACTCTAAGTGTCCCCCTGCACAATTATTCTAGGGGACAAGGCGGGATTAGGGGCAGGCCTACATTTTGGGGGCCCTGAAGCTTCAACTGTTGTGGGGGCCCCTTTGCAACAAGGAACAAGGAAAACCCCCGCCATCATCTTCAATGACAGACCACTACCCTTTTAAAAGAAATGTAACTACTGCTTCTCAGATTTTGATTAAAACTGCTGTCCTGGATTATCTCACAGGTGTGAGTAAAGTTTCCTGCATCCCATAGTTTTCAAGTTATGGGGGTGGGGGTGAAAATTAGGGAAATGTTATATATGCACAGTCATATCTCGGGTTACAGACGCTTTAGGTTGCGTTTGTTCGGGTTACGGACCCATCAAAACCCGGAAAAGAATATGAAAAAATGGTTTTTTATAAGTAAAAATTTAATGTTATAATAACTTAAGATTAAAGATCAGGGTAGAATAAAGAGGGAAAGAAACTGCTGAGCTAATAAATTGAATTGGAATACAAAAAAGGGAGGTATGAGGAGGTCCGGGAAACAAGTAAATGAAAAATAATGTGATGAAAAGATTGATTGTTTTTAACTATTTTTATTTTGTATTTTTTCTTTTTTCTTTTTCTATTTTGCAATGTAAAAACCCTAATAAAAAATTTATAAAAAAACAAAACAAAACCCGGAAGTACCGGTACGGGTTACTTCTGGGTTTAGGGGGTCATGCATGTGCCAAAGCGCTAAATCGCGCTTTGCACATGCCCAGAAGCGCCGAATCGCACGGATCACGTTTGCAACCCAAGCATCCACTGTACATGCTGGACTTGTTAAAGTAAAATTGTTAAGCAATTAGAACTAAATACTTGTGGAATGAGTGGCTCTGAAGCTTAAACCCCCTTAGTTTGCTAGCAGACCCACCCCTGGGGGGCATCTCCCACCAGACCCCAAGAATGGGGTCTCCTTTGGCACACAGCCCCGAGAGCGTCATGGGGGGGGGTGTCTTGGTGCCCCTACTTGGCCAGCGGTCGGCGAGCGCGGTTGACGGCCTCCAGGTCAGCGTAGCGCAGGTCCAGCTGGCATCCGACCAGCACGATGGGGGTGCGCGGGCAGAAGTGCTTGATCTCGGGGTACCACATGCTGGTCACGTGTCGCAGGGAGTTGGGGTTGGCCAGGGAGAAGCACAGCACCACCACGTCCGACCTGCGGGGAGAAGGCAGGCGGGTGAAGGCCCCACCACCGCTGGCACAGACTGGCACTCGGCCGAGGAGGAAGAGTCCAGGATTTCCGTTCCCAGAGCCCCGTGACGTGGCTCAAGGGCCAGAGAGCCAGGACTAGGAAGGATAAAGGGCAGACGAGCGGTCAAGCCCCACTGGCATATCGCACATGGAGAAGCCAGGGTGCCCGCTGCCAGCTGATCTGGCCGGGAGAGGAGACCTCCAAGAGAGAATCAGATTTGGAAGGGACCTCGAGAAACTGCAATGCAGGAATTTTTCACCCAACGTGGGGCTCAGACCCACAACTCAGATTCAGAGCCGCATGCTCCACCAAGAGTGACAAGGCCAGGTGGCCCAGCCAACTTGCAGCTGCCAGCCTGAGCCAGGGAGCACCTGCTCTGCCAAAGGGGAGCCCAAGGGTGAAAATCCACAGAAAGTGGAGAAGGGGGTCTTTCTCTACACCTGGGGAAGGGGCGGGAGGAGGCAAGAAAGAGGCCGCAGTCTCCAGGGCAGATGTGAAATAGGAGATGGCCTCCCCCGTCCCCCCCTTCAAGAATTTCAGAAGGCTCAGCGGCCAAGTTGTGAACGTGGAGAACGTGAGTCGGAGGCCGCAGGACGCCAGGCCGGGTTCCAGGGCCAGGAGAGGCCTGCCAGAGAGCAGGGAGGGGGGTGAAACACCAACACCCCCCCAAGCCCAACCCAGGAAGGCCAAAGGATAGCGCAACCCACCCGGAAGTGGAAGGCACAGGACATGCGAAGCGAGGGGAGGGGGGCTTCCTCTCCATCTGTCAGGGGTGTTTCCGTTGCAATTCCTGCACTGCGTGGGGTTGGGATAGATGGCCTTTGGGGGTCCCTTCCATTTCCATGATTCCGTGCAAGAAATCACCACCACAGCCAGCCAGCCCCCTCGGACCCTTCCCCCAGAGGGCTGGAAGACCCTCCTTTCCCAGACCCCTGCCCGCCACCCCCAGGCTGCAAATCTTGCTGCTCGTGCCTGGCTCCCTGTCCTGAGATGAAGGGGGGGTAGAGAAAGATGCCCAAGAGAGGGAGGGCGGGTGCCATGCCCAGAGACACCCCCCCTCTCTGGCCAACCCCTCCTGCAAGGGAGACCGGCTACAGCAGACCCAGCCTGGCATGTCGAAGGTCCCAGGTGGGAGGAGGCTGGAAGCAGGCGGCCCTCTGTCTGGGCTCCACCTCCCGTGGGTCTCCCTATCTCCTGCCCTCCCAGTGCCAGGGGGCACAGGCCCGTTCCCTCCCTCCCACTCCAGATAAAGCTGCCTCCCTGGAGAGCTGCCAGTCTGCGTAGGAGGGACACGGAAAGCGGCAGGCTCTCTGACACTGGAGCTTTCACTGCAACGCCTACATTGCGTGGGGTTGGTCTAGATGAGCTTTGGGGGTCCCTTCCGACTCAACCTGTCCCTGCCCACCTGGGGAGCCGCCACCCCCCTTTGCCTCACCTGCCGTAGGCGAAGCGCCGGTCTTTGTGGTGGTCCCCAAAGGTGTCCCAGAGCCGCAGGGAGATGCTGACCTCGTCCACCACGTCCCGCGAGCGCTCCAGCACCTATGGGTGGGCACGGGGGGGGGGAGACAGGTGGGTCACAAAGGAAGTGGGGGGAGGGTGGGGGGAAGAGTAGGGCAAGGGTCTCCCTGGCCCCCCTGGCCCGCCTCACCTCCTGGCACACGCGGTACTGGTCGATGGCCCAGACAGTGGGCACGTGGGTGGCCAGCAGCTGGTACTGGGTGAGGGTGGCATTGCAGGCCCTGGCGCAGATGAGGCGGGTCTTGCCCACGGCGTTGTCGCCCACCACCACGCACTTGATGGTCTCGACGTTGGGGCGCTCATAGTCCAGGTCCAGATCCATGGGGCTGCGGCTGAGGAGGGCAGAGGGAAGGGGAGGCAGGCGGGTGCCCGTCAGGTGCAGCAGCCCGGAGGACAAAGAGCCGCGCGGAGACGTCCCGTCAGCAGGAAGAGGGGTGACCAGTTCCCTCCCCCAAAAAAGCCCCTGACAGCAGTGCCAGGGCGGGGTCACGTGGCACTCATAGCCCAGGTCCAGATCCATGGGGCTGCAGCTGAGGAAGGCAGAGGGGAAGGGGGGCAGGCAGGCGGATGCCCGTCAGGTGCAGCAGCCCGGAGGACAAAGACAAAGACCCGTTGGGAAAGGACGGCGGGGGGGGGCGATCGGGGGTCCCGGCGGCAGGAAGGGGGGCGGCCAACTCCTTCCCCCCCGAAAAGCCCCCCAGGTCCAGATCCATGGGGCTGCAGCTGAGCAAGGCAGAGAGCATGCGGGTGCCCGTCAGGTGCAGCAGCCCGGAGGACAAAGACTCGCGCGGAGACGCCCCGGCTCGTCGGGGGAGGACGGCGGGGGGGGGGGATCGGGGGTCTCGGCGGCGGGAAGGGGGGCGGCCAGCTCCCTCCCCCCCCAAAAGCCCCATAAAGCGCGTCCCGGGCCCCCCGATCCCCTGCCCCGTCTCCCCCTCCCCGCTCACCGTCTCCGCCCGGCTGTCCCGGGGCTTCAGGGCCCCCCCCGGGGCGGAGGCGAGGGGCTGCCCGTCCGGGGGCGTCTCCTCCGGGGCCCCATCCCATCCCGGGCGCCGCTGCCGCCGCCGCCGCTGCTGCTTCCTGGCGCTGGGAAGGCGGCCTGGGCGTCGCTCTCCGCCCTTCTGCCCGCGCCCGCCCCCGACGCCCCGTTATCTCCGCGCCCGACACGCCCCCGACACGCCCCCGCCCAGCCCAGCCAATGGCCGCCCGCCGCCGCCCGGACAAAGGAGCCTCCGGCGCCGCAGCGACGCCCGGCCACGCCCACCCGCCCGCCCGCCACGTGACACTCCCCGGCCACGCCCCCGCCTCGCGTCAGCGGAGGGAGGGGAGGCGCGCTCTGTGCATGCTCTGCGGCACGCTCGCCCGCCTGCTGCTTCCTGTTCTTCTTCCTATTCTTATTCCTATTACTTAATAACTGTTACTACTCTTACTAATTGCTATTAATTATTAGTAGTTAAATGTATGCGCCGCACTTGGCCTGAAGATCACAGGGCGAATTTGTTTTTTTAACAATTAATTGCACATTTATTTAAATTGGATGAACTTGATCCACTGATACCAGCCTTACACTATTTATTTTTTTTTTTAAAAGGATTTTGTTGATTTACAAAAGTGTGCGCAATGTCTCTCTCTCGTATTTATTCTATTTTTACACATCAGTTTCTATCCCAGGGCGATTTGCGGCAAATCGGATGCCCGTTTGCTCCTCCCGCGTATTCTTGACTTGCTACGGATACTGCGAAGGCGTTTATTTATTTGGGCGTTTATATCTCAAGGAGGGCTCCAGGGCTGCCCCCCTCCTCATTGAATCCCCCCCAAGCCCCCTGTGAGGGAGGCGAGGCTGAGAGGGAGCCCCAAGGGGAACCTCATGGCTGAGGGGGGATTCGAACCCAGGTCTCTCGCGGGACCTACTTGGGCACTCGAACCCAGAGCTTTCCAAACAGTGTTTCGCGATGCGTTAGTGTGTCAGGGCACAAAAGGGGTTCATTTCCTTTAATAAAACTGAATTACTGCATTGCGAAATGATGCGTGTCTAAAAAGCTTGTCACCACCCTGAAAAGTTTGGAATGCTCTGCTCTAACCGCTAGGCCACACTGCCTTTGCATGCAGACAATCTCAGGCTCCCGAGGCAGAGTGACTTGCTTGGCTTTCCTCTTCCCGCTGAAGCAACGTGGGGTTGAAATGATATTGCACCTAAGGCCTTCTGGGAAATGATCTATAATGAAATCAAAAAGGTACTCAAATGTACCTTTTCTAAAAAACCAGAGGCCTTTCTCTTGGGCATTGTCGGCCAATTGGTGACAAAGAGGGATAGAACTTTCTTTATGTACGCTACAACAGCAGCAAGAATACTCATCGCAAAGTATTGGAAGACTCAAGATCTACCCACTCTGGAAGAATGGCAGATGAAAGTGATGGACTATATGACATTGGCCGAGATGACAGGCAGAATCCGTGACCAACGAAAAGAGACGGTGGAAGAAGAATGGAGAGAATTTTAAAAGTTATCTTAAGGACTACTATAAACTTAATGAATGCTAAAATGTTGTGGTTTCCAGAAACAAAGGGATACAGGGATATAAGGTTAGAAATATAAAAAAGGACTAAGAAGACAGAGATTGGAAAATAACAATTGGGAGTTGCTAGTTGAACTATGGACACTGGGATGCAGAGAGGGGGGTATGGGGAAGTCAAAGGAAAGAGGTTTATGAAAATATGTTTGAAACTATACGTGTATGTTTGTCCATTTTTGGTGTTTGTTTGTTTTTTGTTTAAAAAAGTTTCTAAAACCAATAAAATTTTATATAAAAAAATGAAATGATATTGCACCTTTATTTTTAATGCCAGTCTCAACTATGGGGCTGGGTGCCACCGTGTCCAGCTAGGCCACCCCCAAAACTCCTGATCTTCGGCTCTGAGCCGCTTGGAGCGCTGCCTGCGCCTCTTTCAGTGGCCTCTGGAGCCCAGTGGGGCAGGGGATTCCCCGGGGGGTGCTAAGGGGCAAGGGGGCAGCACAGGGGGGGCACCGGAGGTGGAAATGATCTGGCGTTGGAAAGCTGGCCTCACAAATCAAAGCCATCGGTTTGGGTGAATTAATTACACTCCACCCTTTCAATTGGATTTTGAAGACATGTGCAATGAGTTGTCGCTGTTTGGCATGTTCTTGTGTGTCTGTGCAAACCTCCCTTCTGAATAATGCTTTGTTCAGGGTGGGGGGCGCTGGGATGGGTTTGTGGATCCCAGGGGGCAGGCGCCAAACTTCTCTGGGGAGGCCCAACGCCAAGAACCGTCTCTTCCTCGTTTTAATGTTGTATTTTAATCTTGTTTTTTAGTTGTATGTCAATCAATTGTTTTCTATCTGGTGTTAGCCGCCCTGAGCCCGGTCTTGGCTGGGGAGGGCAGGGTATAAATAAAAATAATAAAAATAATAAAAATTATTATTATTATTATTATTCCTCTCGAAGGAGCCCAAGGGAGGCTCTTTTCTCGCTCCCCAGACCTCTTTGGCCTGCTGCGCTGAGCCGCCTCCTCCTCCCAGTTTGGATTGCGTTGGCGCCCGGTGCGCTGTGACTCGGACTTTGCCTTATCCCTGGGCGTTGCCAGGATTCCTCCCTCGCTTCCTTGGCCTGCCTTGAGAGGGGCAGGGGAAGAAAGAGCTCCCTCCTTTGTTGTGCTGGAACTGCAGGGATTGTGCAAGCAAAATGGCGCTTGGAGCACCTGCTGGTGGGGTGGGGGTGTGCGTCCTGTCGCTGAGCAGGGGGGGCATCGCTCAGACCACCTGCCCCACTTCCTGCTTTGGGGTCCTGGCTTTGGAGAGGGGCTGTGGGGAAAGGGAAGGGCAGAAAGGTTATGGCGCTTTCTTCTCCGTGCCACAGCGCACTGCGCCCTCCTTTGCGGCAAAGCGCTGCTGGGAGGCATTTGTGAGAAGCGGGGAGGCCCCGATCCACCCTTCCCTGAGCCTTAGCAATGGGCAGGCGATGGAGGAAGCCTTTGGGTGAGGCCTCCAAACCCACTCCCTCCCCCCCTTGCCCATGGGGCTGGAAGGCCCTTTTGCACCCGGCTGGCAGGATCTCGGTCCAGCCCCACACAAGCGCAAGGGAGGGGGGGCTGGCGGTTTGGGGAGAAGAAGGGGGGGAATGTGGGGGGGGAGCAGGGCCACTTTGCCGCCTGCAGCAGCATTCCTGCCTGGTCAGCAAGAGAGTCTGCGGCAGGTTGGCAGGACAATGCGAAAGCTGCCAAGGCAGCACAACAGCGCATGGACTGGTTGCGCTGGGGAGGGGAGCCCCAGCACTCCTGCACTGCTCGATATCAGGGGTGGGCAAAGTTTTTGTGGCTTGGGCCAGTTCATGGTCCTGCAGACGCTGCGGTGGGCCAGAGTGCGCGCGCATGCATGCGCAAATGCTATTTCTGGTGCTCTTTCTGACACCTAATAATAATAATAAATGTTCTTTATACCCCGCCCTCCCCAGCCAAGGCTGGGCTCAGGGTGGCTAAGAAGCAATAATAAAAACAAGTTGAGTGAATACAACTTAAAAACCAGATTAAAATACAACATTAAAACATTAAAATGCAGCCTCATCACAGGAGGAGAAAGGAAAAAAGAAAGAGGGGGACAGATTCTAAGCCAAAGGCCAGGCGGAACAACTCTGTCTTACAGGCCCTGCGGAAGGAAATCAGATCCTGCAGGGCCCTGGTCTCATGAGGCAGAGCGTTCCACCAGGCCAGGGCCACCACTGATCAGGCACCGCTTGGTCTGCCCCGCTGTTCGCTGGCTCCGCTCTGGCCGGCAGCTGTGAATGTAGGTCAGCCTCTGCATAGAAAGTGGGTGGACGCCTGCGCCCCACACCCCTGGCTCTTTTTGGGTGTTCTCCACAGGAGGCAAGGCGGCTCACAGGAGGAAAAGGTCACACAAATGCAAATATTAGGGAAAGTCGTCAGCAAGAACCAAGACACATCAAAAAGCACTCGAGCAAATTGAACATTTTCCACTGAAACTGTAAGAACGAAAATAGAGAACAAAAGTCTGTCCAGCAGCCTTGGCTTCATCAGCTGGAGTCAGTCAGGGCCGGAAAAGCCCTGCAGGGCAGGGAGCCCGTCTTCCAAGACTCGCAGCCCAGGATCGGGCAAGACGGGGGTCTTTTGCTTCCCTTCTACTCCAGGGTAAGAGGGATGGCCGGCCCTCGGTCTTCTCCAGACAGGATCCAGGGGCCTGGAGCAGTCAGTGGTCAAAGTTGACTCCTTGTAGCATCAAGGTCAGCACAGTTCTGGAGCCTCGGCAAAACAATCCTTTCACACACGCCCAAGCAATGAATATCTCCGGGGGTTCCTGTTTCCCTTGGATCAGGGTGCAAGGGAGAGTGAAGGAAGGAGGTGAAGGGGTTGTTTGTGAGTATAGGAACAGAGTGGGGGCTCCAGCAGGCAGCACGTCCTCTGCACGGACTCTGACCCTTGTGTCCCATTTCAGCAGCCATTTCAGACTGGCCCCCCAGCCTGCACCCCATTTGAAATATAATGACAGTCATAAAAACAGCAAGAATATAGCTTTCACTGCAGATGGAGACAGCAGTCGTGAAATTAAAAGACGCCTGCTTCTTGGGAGAAAAGCAATGACAAACCTAGACAGCATCTTAAAAAGCAGAGACATCACCTTGCTAAAAGCATTCAAAGTCTGCATTGCCATACTGCGTATTTGGTTATCTCTTCATTTTGTGCTTTTCCAAGGATGCAGAAAGGCCCAGGGACAGCTTTACTGGGTCTCAGAAGGTGGTGGGCTCTCTTTCCTTGGAGTTCAGATGGCCATCTGTAGGGGATTCTTGAGCTGTGATTCCTGCTTCCCAAGGGGTTGGACTAGATGACCTGGGGGATTCCTTCCAGCTCCCATCATCTCTAGCCTGCACAGCCACCCTAGGCTACTCAGGGTCTCAGGCAGAGGAAGGTCCTTCTCAGTGCTGCTATCTGCATTGTGTGGTTCACCTCACGCCACCCCGAGATTGCAGGGACTTAGCCTGTGGGCTTTCTGCATTGAAAGCACACCCTCTGCCACCGAGTTATAGAGGAGTCACTGAGATACAATGTCCAGAAGGAGATTTATGCTTGCCGTCAGCAAGCAAGGAACCGCAGTTGCAGAC